GCTTTTATCACGTACGAATGTTATGCGAGAGATTTTTGAGCGTTGTATTTACCGTTGATCATCAGTTCTCGACCAGGCCAGGCCAGGGATATGGTATTGGCGAATAAAACTGACAGAGAACCATTCGGTGTTTGGATTCTTCTTCATCAACATTGGCTACCTCGTTGTTCCTCACGATAGTCATCAACAGGCTTGGTAAAGAAATGAATATGAGCGTTTTGCTCCTACACATGCTTGTCTCCGATGTCGTATTGGCTCATCTTGCAGTATTGTGAGCAGAAGCGGGCTGGACTTTGTTCGAAAGTGTTCAAATATAGGCGAGGTAAAAATTTTGCAGAAACATGATAGAGCACGTGGTACACGTGATACTTGTCATACGTTGACGTCTACTTATTTCGGCAGAAGTTAAGCGTAAATTTAGGCTAATCTCGGATACCTTTTTTCTTTAACAATTGATCCTTTTGGGAATATCAAGCGATATCAATATATCCCATACGTTGTCATACGCCGTCCATCGAAAAGCCTAATCTGGGCGTCCATCGAAAATTCTGTCTGGTGTTGGGGGGGGGGAGATCTTGTCATCTCAATGAGGTATGAAAAACGGACTTGACTCCGCCCGAGGGTGATTTCTATCTTTAGTCTGCGATTAACGGTCTCAAACAGGTTATTTTTTTCCAATGATCTTATCTTGTGCATATATATGGATATATGAAATCTGTTTATCTATCGATTCCTATTTCTAAATTATATTACTGATTTCCCATAACTACCTGAAATGACACTGGCGATACTAAATTATTGTAACGCATAAATCCTTTCAATTATTCCCATATATTAGTAACGGCTTAACTGAATGAGCAAAATTGCCCAGAACTAGTACATTTTAAGAGTTGGGCTTTATGCATTGAGCGCAAAATGGTTTGATTTGATATACAGAGGGCGCAACTAAGGTATTGTGATCATCAATTAACCGACTCTTTTTTATTCATCTGATACTTATCAATTATAATATTCGGTTGAAAACCAGTAATTAAGGTTTTGACGCCTTGGTGTTATCTATCGGCAGATATACATAAATATAAATATCGATCTATCGTTATGAACCCTTGCTGGGCTTCAAACATTCCCAACTACATTCTTCGGTCTGCGGCTCACTACTGGAAACCATAGATGGAGCCTTCCTATGACGAAACGACCGACTTCAACTACGATCTGGACGATCCCGCTCTAGATTTTGATGAAAATATTCACCTTGATGGCCTAATCGGCAACCCCGAGTTCGTGCCTCTTTTCGACATTGGAATTACCATCGTTGTAATCGAAGCTATTACAAAAGCATTCGTAGTGTTCGAGCATGAAGGTGTGCGACACCATATCTGGATTGACTTGCCTACTGTGGACGAGATTATGAGAAGAAGACCGAGGAAGACTAACGGCTTTTTATATTCAAGAACTGCTTTCTCCGAGCATTAAAAGATTACAATGAAAGTACCATCATGCCTCACACTATGACGGAGATAGCGGGATCTGTTTGGCGTTCCACACACGATAATGAGAAAGAAGCGTTTCTTTCGCTTGCCAAGAAAGCCATGAGTTTAATGCGATCAGACTTGGAGGGCACCGCAACTGCCAAATTCTACGACATTGT